TCTAGCTAGAGTTTAATAAAAACAAAAACAGTTGTCTAGCAAGAGTTTAATAAAAACAAAAACAGTTGTCTAGCAAGAGTTTAATAAAAACAAAAACAGTTGTCTAGCAAGAGTTTAATAAAAACAAAAACAGTTGTCTAGCTAGAGTTTAATACAAACAAAAAACAGTTGTCTACTGTTATGTAACCACAGGAGTTACAGCTACCTAACTTACAAGTTAACAAGAAAGTAAATTATTGTTTAGCTTGAAGCAATAAACAGCTGGAATGTAAACAAACAAGAAGGAATTGTTTAAATTTAATTAAATTTAACAACATACACATATAAATATTTCCGAATTGAGATATAAACAACAAACCACGCTGTTAATATGAATTTAACTTTAAAAAAATGTCTAGACAGCCAGTAGTTGTCTGACTTGGTATTTAGCTAATGAAACAGTTGTGTAGCTTTGATTTTACTAAAGCAAATATTTAACATCTTGTCAGCAGAGCTGCCATTGCGATAAACCAAACAAACAACCTATGGTCTCACTGGGACTGTCAATAACACGTCACCATGAAACATTGTCCACTCCAAGTCAAGGTTTGAAGTATGGGGGCGCTGCAAACAGCTGGTGATTGGAGAATAAAAAATGTAATAATTTACTTTTTGGTGTGTTTGCTTTCACTTTTATGATAAGCCTATTGTAAACAATGATTAAAACATTTTTTACTTATGGTTTTTTACTCTAATAGATAAACACGTTTTGAAGCTTCTTTCGTTTTGTTAGGTATGTTTTAACACACGAAGAGAATGCCTGGTAAAAATGCCTGGCTCCAAGTTGAAAATCCAAGTCGATAATTTGGCGAAAGAAACAAACAATTGCTGGAGACTAATAATTGTTGGAGACGGCTTTAATGAGTAATGAAGAAAAACTTGGATATAAGTTTAACATAACAGCAAATGTACAACGTTTCGACAAGGTTTTTGTCATCATCAGGTACATGTAATTTACACTGACACGGATATATACAGTATGGAACAAAGAGGTCACATGACAGGATACTGTCGCAAGACTTAGAAGAGGCCCCCAGTGGCACAGCGGTATGTCTGCGGACTTAAATCGCTAGAATCCGGGTTTCGATACCCGTGCTGGGCAGAGCACAGATAGCCCATTGTGTAGCTTTGTGCTTAATTACAAACAAACATACTTAGAAGAGATATAATAATTGTTGGAGACGGCTTTAATGGGTAATGAAGAAAAACTTTGATATAAGTTTAACATAACAGTAAATGTATAACCTTTCGACA